GAGGGTAAAGCGTCTGCCTGCAACGTGGGAGACCTGGGTTCGATCCCTGGTTTGGGAAGATCTCCTGGAGAAGGAAATGGCAACCCACTACAGTATTCTTGCCTGGAAAATCCCATGGACAGAGGAGCCTGGTAGGCCACAGCCCATGGGGTCACAAAGAGTCGGACGTGACTGAGCGACTTGGCTTTGCTTTGCTATCGGTGTGAGAGAGCAGTCTTGTGTAACAGCGAGAACCCCCTTGATTCTGCACTTGTAGACTCTTGAACCACTGAGACAGGTTTTGGGAACTTAATAAAGAACAACCCAAGAAGACTCGTTCTGGCGAGAGTATCAGTGGACTGTGCCACCGCCTGGTGTCCCCTGACTTCCAGGAAAATGGAAGAAAACTATGTGGGTTGCTTCATTACTCTGTCTCTTGGCTGAACCTGGGGGTGGCTGGGAGCAGTTGGGCATCTCAGCTTCTTAGACATTGCCTGATGCTTCACGTGTGGGGTGCCACCTGTGCATTCCTGCTCTAAAATGATGGGTACCAGCATCTGTAGACAAAGTTTAAGGTAAGTTTGCATTCCCCTTTTACCTGAGATGATAAACTTGTGTACACTGGTGTGGTTAAATAAAAGAGTGCGGATTTGGGGAAGGGTTGGATAGGCATTTTATAGCATTTAAAGATTCAAAGTTTAGTAGGAAGTTGTCTCTGTCAGCCAAAGCTATGTGGGGGGCTGGTTGGCTGGCTGGCCAGCTGGATAGATGGGTAGATGGGTAGAGAGGAGGGAAAGGGGGAGGGACATAGGGAAAGCTAACAGTTAATATTGGGGTGGTGGCATTGTAGATACTTTTTTGTCCGTATTCATCTGTCTTTTCTAAATGTTTCTATGACTAGTGAAAGTATGAAGCAGGAAGTGGCCTGAAATGAGCCTGGTGAGTAGAGAGGGCAAAATCATGGACTGTGCGTTGGTTGTTACTATTTTCTCTTCTTGCTGGGCATGTGGAGGGCTGCACCTTTTTGAAGCTAGGCATAGCCGCAGAACGTGCTCTGCCAACAAAATGCTAGGAGAAGCAACACCTGTCACCACAGGTGGGAGCTCATGACATTGAGTGTGCAGCCGTGTTCTCTTCCCCACCCTGGAGAGGCTGGTGAAATCACAGAGGATGGAAACACCCACGGACTCCACCTGCCTGGGCCCCTGGCCAGTCACAGTGACCGCAGCCCCACTGACTTGGGAGGGACATGAGGCATGAACAAGTCATAATCCTTGGTTTTCTTGTGACATTGAGGTCTGGGGGCTTCTTCCTTGTTGAAGGTAATCTTGATTGATACAGAAGCACTTGTGTGAGCCACTCAGTAAGGGATCTGGGTCGTATCTTGTTGGCCATTCCAAGCTACAAAAGTGTTTTAAGCTAGGAGTGTGTGTGTGTGAGCGTGTGTGTGCGTGCGCATGTGTGTTGCAAATCTAGAGCACAGACACTGGCCAGACAGGGTCTGAACTTTTTACGTCCTGGATGGCGTATGCTGATTTAACATCTTAGTTGAAAAATTCAATGATTTTTTAGTGGTGATGGAAGAGTTCTATATCTTGAATGTGGTGATAGTTCTATGAAATTCTGCATGTGATAAAAAAGAATTATATGCATAGATATTTCAAATAAAAGAAAATGAGTGTATCCCCGAACTGGTGAAATCCAAGGAACATCTGGAGTCTAATGAATTACTTTGTGACTATGTCGATTTTCTGGTTTTGACGATATGCTGCTTGGATTAGTCGTCCCCTCTGGGGGATGCTGGGAGATGGGTATGTGAGCATTTTCGGGTACTGTGTTTGCCACTTCTTGAGAGTCTATAATTCCTTCCAAATTAAAGTTAACAACAACAACAGCAGAAATGAGTTATACCAAGAAAGCGGATTGTGGTCAGTCCCAAATTCATAGACTCAGCAGGAAAGCTCACATTGGCAGATGGGGCCTCTTGCTTTCACCTAGCAATCAGCAGTTTATGCCTCAGAAATGCTCTCTGTTTGCAATCCGCCAGCCCCTGCCTTCTCATTTGGAGCACGTCCCACGATAAGAACATTTCTATCACATTGTGAAGTTTGTTGGACAACCGGAAGAGCAACACCCCCCGCCCCCCGCCCCGCAACACACACACACATATCAGCACATTTGTGCACCCTCTTCCTAAAAGCTGTGTTTTCTCTTTATGGGGCTTAACCAAACTGCACGTGCAGCCCCTCTGCATTTCTCAGGGTCTGTAGCAGAAACAGGAAACCTGATACCGAGGGCAGGGGGAATTACCTGAGTAATCGGGTGTGGACTTGAATCACTGTCCCCAGGAGCCCAGTAACCCACCGCCTGTGGATTAGTCTGTTGAACTACTTGATGGCTTGTGACCCCTCGTTCCCCCTGGATACGTATGTTCTGATTTTGTTCTTATTGGTGGTGGCAGCCCTGTGCTTTATCTTTCAGCAAGGTGCGAGGTGGGGGGTGGCAGGGGGCAGTACCAAAAGACAGCTTACCACGTGCAAACGGCACATTAGAAGAACACATCGGCCCGTTTGGCCACACTATCGCTTTCATTGGAATTTTCGCTTTGGGGTCGCCATCTGGGAATGTTCTCCCTGTTTTATGGGGGAGGAATGTACATGCATTCTTTTCTAATATGTAGCCAGCACATTCCTCGGGGGTTTCCATCAGGGACTCAGCTGAGAGGAGCGATGTCTCTCTTTAACCACCCCTCCGTTAATAGGAGAAATATCCTGTTTTCCTCTTGAGATCCATTCAAAGCTCCATAAGATTTTGTGTTGGCGACGAGTGTCATGCTCTGCACCAGGGGCGGCTGGGGCCCGAGGAGCAGGGTGAGGGTGAAAGGGCACTTGAGTTGCCATGTCTGAACATCAGAACCAGTAGTTGAGCATTCAGGAGGCATAAGAATCTATGGGGAAGGGAAGTTAGCCATTTTGACAGACGTCCCACTCCAAAGAATTGAGCCATAGATAAACATCCATCACACAGACAGAAAGCTGGCGGGCGGGGGTGGGTGGTTTGCTCCTCATCCGGAGTCCCAAGCCCTCTGTAGAGGGTACGGCATCACTCAAGTGTAGTCCCTTCTCCTGGTGGCAGTTTTCCTTCATATGGGATGAGGGCCGTGGCCTTGCCTTACCATGAGCCCTCCGGCTCTCATATTCCCTGATCTCAGGAAGCTCTAATGAAACCCACGTGTTGGCACTCTCCTCTTTTCCTGGATCGGGTTAGATGCTTCTCCTTCTTCCAGAATCTGCAGGTGTGTGCAGCTGCTGCTGTTACCTGAGGAATTTAAAATCCACTTCGGCCAACTTGCCTTTGCCAGATTGTTGGGGTTTGGGGAGGTCACTCAATTCCTCTCTACTGCCTTTCCTGAAACTGGGCCCTGTTAGTGGCAGGATCTGGATCCTCCAGGATCCAACAGTGATCTGGTACGACGAGGTCTTCGGGGGGAAGCCTCACTTGTTGTGAACACAGTTTCACCCACCCTGCTGCCCTGTCACCCTCCTGAACAACCATTTATTACACAGTGGCCTCGGGGAGAGAGCTTGTCACTACGGGCATCTTCCCTCCTTCAGTTAAATTAATGAAACACCTTCTGTCTTCTAGGCAGGCTGTTAGGCATTTTGCACTTAGCCTCACTACTCTGTGAGTAGATAATGAGCGTTTATCATTTACAAGTGAGGAAACTGAGGCTCAGAAAGGTTAGATGGCCCAGAGTCTGTGTGTATTCCAGCTGCATCGGCCTGGTGTTCACTGTCCAAGGCCTGGGACTCGGGTCGCAGTCCAGGACTTTGATGGCCAAGGTGAACTGCTGCAGACACAATAAGCATCTCAGCACAGCTTGTGTGTGCGTCCAGGTGGAGGGTGTCCTCTGCCGAGCCGTATGCATCCCCTTCATAGCATCCGAGCCTCGTGTGATTCCCGCTCGTCTTACTTCAGCATCGCAGTCTCGACAAGGATTCCCAGGTTCACCGCTTATCTTATGAGAATCCACTTACCTGAACAGGCAGGTAGCCTGGCTGTCTGTTCTGAGGAGAGAGATCTAAGAAGTGGTAGCATTTCAGCCCACACAGCAGAGTCCAGCCAGACTTAAAAACCGGGAGGGCCTGGTAAACACAGGGCCTGTCTGAAAGGCATGGTCTTTCCAGAACTGTGCTGGGGGCCATGCAGTGGAATGGGGTGGCTTCAGTGACTGCTGTAGGGCTTCTGGTGTGTCTCCAGGAGGGAGTTTGGGCTTCAGTGTCAGACTGACTTGAGGTCTCACCAGCCACACTTCTTAGCTCTGTATTCAGTCTCTTATAAGATGCCACAGTGTAAAACAGGCCAAATAAAAGGTACCCTTCAGTCGTCCTGAGGGTGACATGAGATGATGCCTGTAAATGCCCGCCCACCGTCACCCGAGGTTAGACATCAGGAGCATCATTATCATCGCCCGCGTGTGCCTCACGTCCACAGAGTTCACGGGGTCTCTGAACCTGGCTCATCTGCCTCTCTAAAGCAGGGAGTGCAGAGCTGTTGCCTTCGTGCCCTCTGTCCACGCCTTGCGTTCCGTTTCTGAGGCAGGCTTAGGGGGTCATTTCAGCGCCCAGACGGCAGCGTTTGAGATTCCCATGTGGCCTCTGGTGGTCTTGCAGGAGGTGGGCCTCGTCCTGGTGTACCCCTGTCATTATAGTTTCTTTTAGGAGGCACTTCCAGAGGAGACACGTGAGCCTCCGGACCCTGTGGATCCTGTTGCAGGCGCTGAGTCAAACAGCACAGCCCCTCAGCCTGGAGTTTTAGCAGAGTCCCAGCCTCCCATTCTCCCTAAACTTGGCAGTAAAAAGCCCCGTTCTTCTATTCATTCTGATGATTTATATTCTCTCTGGGCGTCTAATATTAAACAGGGGAATTCCGACATGTTCCATAACACATTGACTGTAACTTGATACCATGAACTAAACTTGCTGTTATTTATCATTTCTTTTTATTTTCTCTCATTCCAGCACAAAGCCAAGGTAGAAGCAATGACCCTGGACCTCGCTCTGCTCCGTAGCGTGCAGCATTTTGCTCAGGCGTTCAAGGCCAAGAATGTGTGAGTGTTCCAGAGGAGGGTTATAGATCATAATATCTCGCCATTGTAATGTCTTTATCAGATGAACACAACCGGGAAGACGGAAGGCTATTGTGCTGTCTTGGCGTCCAAACCGGAGGCTCATTTATACTGGCCCGGTCGAGGTGTACCGTATTTTTTTGACTCTGAGCCCCCCTCATTATGAGATGTGTCATCAATCTCATAACAGCCTCCCAGATAACAAGAAAAAGATACTACTAAGCACCAGTAAAAAGCGACCTCATAAAAGCCAGCTGATTGTAGGCTGCATCCTGATCGCAGACGTCTTCAAGGCGCCTCCCAGAATCGAGGAGAAGTTATATTTTAATTGCACTTAGGAAGAGGTCAAGTCAGCTCTCTAGTTCCACAAGGGGGCTGAACCTCAGAGTACGGGGAAGAAGGTTTTACTGTTTCGCAAACCTGCGATGGTTTTACGTGGCACATGGACACGGTTCCAAAAGTGTGGGCTCACATCTGAGAACTTCTGTTTTTCCATTCTTTCTCAAATTTTTCAAAAATGCCTGAAGGAGGGAGCCTTCGCTGAGGACTGGCAGATTTTTTTTTTTTGGCCATCCGTTACCAACTGCCTTCCCTAACAGAGAGCGAGCAGCTCTTAAAGCCAGAACTGAGGAGAGCGGTGGTGGTTAGCTTCCTTTTCATTACAATATTTTGTTTCTAAGTGTTTATTTTTACAGTTCCCTCTTTTTTTTTTTTTTTTTTTTTTTTAGGGCAAGCAATACTGGTTTCTCATTTAACATAGCGGTTTAAATTTCTTTAACAAATCACTTCGTTTAATTTTTCTTTTCCAGTGAGTTGATTTAAACACAAGGATTAAGTTAATAATAGTGCATGGGGTGCCAAGGGTAAAATCATTCCACAGTCGGCACCAGAGTCCCCGAGTTTGGAGTAGGCTGATCCCTGACAAGCAGTCTCAGGTTTGGCCTCTGTCAGGGTCGCTGGTTTTTTTTTTTCCTTTTTTTTTTTTTTGTTAGGGTCGCTGGTTTTAACAGTTCTCTGCAGAGATGATGGATGAGAGGGGAGGTGTCTCAGACCAGATGTTCAGATGGCGTGATGTTGACCTGACTCCTCAATGCTGTCCAGTGGCCAATCCTTCTTTCTCCCTTCATTTTCTCACTCGTTCTTTTTAGACGGTTGAGAAGTCTGTCCTCTAAAGCCCTTTCTGTAGCAAGCCTGAGTCCTTGAGATTGAAGTGTCAAGTCCGAGTCTTTAGTGAGATCTGCACTTGCCCCACCCCGACCCCAGGGGCTGCCCTGTGCTCCAGCGAATAGCTAGCTGGGTGTCGTCCCCAGGCCAGCACACCTCGGTGAGCCCTACTGTGCGCCCTCTCGGCAGGGATTATAACTGCCAGCCCTCGCCAGAGCTCCCAGAGAACCTCACATCAAGACAGAGCTGTAGCTCTTTAAACATTTGCCCTTTCCTCCCTTCATGATTCATTTATCCACTTGCTTCTTCACTTAACACGCGTTTAACACATGCCTCCAAAGCCCCAGGCTCTCTTCTCGGCTCGGGAAAGAGAGTGGTGGCTGGTGAAGGCCTAGTTAAGCTCACCCAAGCCATTGTGTGAGTTGCCAGCAAGCAGGCAGTGTTTAACTGCTGGCAGCCTACTCCTCGACTTAGTATTTCTGCGGTTGTTTGGAAGAGAACAGCAATAATAATATCAACCATAGCAGCAGTAACAGCTCGTTTCTCGAGAGCTTATTCTGAGCCCCACACCCAGTACCTCTGTGCACTTTTCCTGGCTTAGTTCTCCAAGCAGCCCTCAGGGTGAGTGCCGTCATTGTGTCTGTCATGCAGTGGAGGAAAATGAGACCAGAGAGGGTGCGTTATCCGAGGGCACGTGGCCAGCCAGCGGGGGCTCTGAGGCTGGGCACGCCTGGGCAGCCCGCCTGCCGGGCCACCTTGCTGCACTGTCTGTTGTTTTCAGTGGGTGGGAAACCGAGACCCGAGGCAGTGAGTGACTTTGGCCGGGTGTCTTGCAGGTTGGTGGCAGGGGCAGCATTTGTAGCCGCCGTGCCTCTCCGCTGTCGCCCCGACACCATGCCACTCTCGTGGGAGGTGGGACGCACTGCCTCCTCATGCTCCCTCCAGTCCTGGTGTCAGAGCTCGCTGGAAGGAGACGTTTAGCTAGGGAGAGCCAGTGGTTACATAAGAGGACTGCCTTCCAAGTCTTAATGGGACCATTCGTTTTTCACCATTAAGGAGTTCAGAAATCATCAAAGCCAACTGCCTTCTGTGATCACCAAGCCCAAACTCTTGGGGAAAAGCGGTCGCCCATTCTGCCCTAATTCTGGATTTTAGCAAATGAACTCTGAACTTCTGTACTCCTCGGTTCAGTAACAAAAGCAGTTTTCCTCTTAGCCAACCCCGTGCCACGAGCCTCCTTTCATCAGTCTCTCTAGGGTCGAGTATTTTTTACATGGACTTAGAGAAATAGGCATGAAAATCCCACACAACTTTTCCTTTGGAAGACCAGCAGGGCGAAGTTTTCCCTGGCCAGGCAGATGACAGTTCAGCACTCACAGGTCTGTGGATTCTGAGAACCGTCAGAAGCGAGTGCGGGTGTCGGTGACTGAGCTTCCAGAAAAACACGAGTCACTCTCCTCCTATCCCCAGCTCCCATCTTTGCCTTTAAGGTCTCCTTGTGTGTAGGACATAATGGCAAGCGAAGGAGAGGCTGCCCGTGCCGGCCCCATTCCGTTCTGCGCCCTTGGACTGAGGAGAGGAGAAACCCGTCCACTGAAGTGCCCCGTGGACGCTCGCACTTAGCAGGCTGTGCCGAGGCCTGCCTGCGAGCCCGCCAGGAGCCTGCTCTGCGCTTTTTACCGCATGTGCCCCCTTGGTTCACGCCCCGGCCCGGCGGCCTCACCATCCCAGGGCCGGTAGCAGTGCTTGTGGCCCGAGCCTGGAAGAGGTGGAAACAGGTGTAAATGTGGACCTCTTTAGAAGATGCAGCTCATGGTACAGAAGAGCCAGTTTCCTTCCACCTTCTGCCGGGAGGGCGGGTGGCTTCAGCCTCTTCTTGGGTATTGTTGGGCGGGTGGTGGCATGGGGAGGGGACTGAGCCTTTTCAGAATGAGCCCTGCTAACAGTGATTATGCAAATCATAATTCCTCTCTGACATTTGTTTATTCCGTGCAAGGCAACACGCTTGGCACTTATGCCCACGTTCTCTCTCTAATTCCTTACAGTCATCCCCAGGCATGACTCATTTTATCTTCGTTCCCAGTGGAAAGGCTCCAGCTTTTCACCGAGAGGCCAGCTCTCTTTCCTAACTTTAGCAAGTGGCAGATCCCAAATTGGAACCCAAGTCTGTCTGAATCCAAAGCAGCCCCGCTTCCTGTTCCACCTCACCCTTCAGGTGTTTTCTTCAGTGTGGATTTCTGGGTTGGTAGGAATTACTGAGGACCAAGTTACTCAGAAATTTAGGGGCCGGACACCGTTCAAGGCGATGGTATTCTGTTCTCTCTCAAGTCTCCTTAAATCAGAAATCAAATAAGGTCAGTGCCTCTTAGCCTATATGTTTTCCTTCAGGTTTTAAATTTCTTTCCTTCTCTCTTTTTATTTAATGCAGCATACTTCTTTCAAGGACAGGTGTGTCCTCTAGAGTTTTCTGTGGTCTGTATTTCAGTGACTGCATCCCGGTGGTGTCATTCAGCTGGTCCTTTTGTCTTCTGTGTTTCCTGTGAAATGGTAGCCAACACTGAAGGCTCGGTCAAATTCCTGTTTAACTTTTATTTGGCAAGAGTGGTCGGTAGGTGGTGGTGGTGTCTTCAAGCCAGTTTCCATGAAGCTCTGCACGCCCCGACCGACCCACCCCTGTGCCCGCGCGGTCTGTCTGTCTGCCCGCTCCCCCTCGCCCCCCATCCCTCCTGTCCCCCCTGCAGCCCTCTTCTGGGTGGTCAGCCCAGGAGGTCTCAGTGCTCCCAGGGCACTTCCCCCAGCGTCAGTGGTGGTAGTGGTCGGCCAGTGTGTCTCAGGTCCAGTTATTTTGGGGCATTACTGGAAAGTTCCAAACCAAAGCCTGTGGTCAGTCCCAGCCAAACTTGAGTTTTGCAGGATATTTTTGTTGAAACCGCAGTCCTGGAGAGCAGCCAGCCTCGGTGCTCCTGCTGCCCGGCTGGTCAGGGCCTCCGTCAGAATGAGAAGTGCTCGGACCCTTCCTGACGACGGCCACCGAGCGTCAGGGTTCTCTGCAGGGGGCTCCGGGGCAGCAGGGTGTTGTCTGGGATGCCTCTGCATAGGTTCAGCCGTGGCGCTCACTGCATAACCTGCCGAGAAGTGTTCATTCTGAACAGGCCCTGTGACAACGGTTCAGGGGTTGCTCGCTTCTGTATTTCCTTTATCAGATGCTGTTTCACGGTGTGAGTTCTATATGTTCCTGAAATAACGGACACCTAGATTCCGGTTTTGAAATTTGAAGTTTCAGTGATGGCACATAATATAGGAAATTTATTGCTTGACTTTCTGTTACCAGTCAGCTCTTATAATATTATCTAAGGTCTTTGATTCATCATAGAAATGAATGGAAGTTGATCATAAGATAATTTTAAAATAACACTTGCAATTATAAAGATTTCTAGAACTTTGTTTTCATTGTGGATCTCTACTTTCCTTTTTCAACTTTCTATTTCCAGCAGAATTTAAGGAAATCAGGCTTTATTTCACTTAAAAATACTTAAAATACTTTCACTTAAAAATTGGATAATAGTGTTTAAAGAAAAATCAAAAGAATACTTTTTCAGTTTCCTCTTTGCTGTTTATACATTTGAGGGAGAGATCTTAACAAAGTTATTTATTTTCACTTTTTAGAACTTGAAAGTTCAGGACATTCAGAAAGTACTAATCCCAGATTTAATTTTCTTGGATTCTTATTGCCAATTTTGCTGTCTCCAGTCCTTCTACAGAAGTGGGTGGTCTATAAATTATAAATAAATCCCAAATTTTGAGGGCTAAATTACACT